GCCATTGTTCAGTTTTCCCTTTCATCCAAACTAAAAAGGGACGAAAGGCTAATAAACAATAGAAAAACTAAGTCATATTTTAAGCTTGAAAACAAAAACTGCATTTCAGTATAATGGTGGCAAATTGATCACACTGGATTGAATGACCAAATAACAGGAAGCATTGCACTGATGACATTTTAAGTAATGACTTGTATATAAATGTGCATACTAGTATATCTTATTCAAAACAGATTATTTTTCAGATACTCATTTTGATCAGCCAGTTACTTAAACTTGTACATGTAGCACATACAGAATACCGGTATACATTTTGTTTTATTAATAGTGCATCACTAAAAGAAGTGCATATAAAACCAAAAATCACACTTTTGGCGTTTTAGATGGAAAAGTTTGACATAGTAGATATTTGTATAACACATTTGAATAACTGACTAATGTTCTTCAGAGTGTGTTTTATCAGGAATTAACTCATTAGAAACTGTTCAAAATATGTTGAATTATTTGAGTGCACATGTTCCAACAAAAATAGGCTCACCGTAAGACATAATAAACATTGCATATTGAGTTAATGAGTTACAAGTGGACAGAAAAATAAATGGGCATGATCTGAACTTGGTTCCATATCTGAAATGACACGTTATGCGGCAGGATGCTAAATAAAAGATAAAAAAATATTTCCTCTGAAAAATAACAGTTTTTATGTACAAATAGTTCACATTTTGGATCAGTAGGAATTGTGAGTGGCTTGTAAAAATAAACACAAGTTCAAATAGAGATGACAAATTTAAAATCAAAACGATAATAATTTTATTAGGTGAAAATACATAACACATACCGGTACTGCCATTCTGTGCAAAACATTCTGCACTATGTGGTTTTGTACTATAGAACACAAAACATGTTGACCCCAGAAGTTTGAAAGTTGCGTGGTTACTACCAAATTGAACAAACATGCTATATTTGGGGGTACTGAGACTTTGGCGTAACAATGAATACAATAGAGGTGATTTCATATTATTATGTAAATTAGCTGATACTCTATGCTGGTTTTCTAGTGAGAATACCCGCCCACCACTGTACATGGGCTAAAAACAGTTTGGAAACAGAGGAGATATAAACAATGTCAACTATAAGTCTGCAAGTAGGTAGAAAGTTTAATCATGGAAATAGTGAGTCAATCAAGACCGTCGCTGATTTGCCACGAAAGTAGAAATAAATATGAAGATCCATGTACAGAAAATATAAAAAATATATAAGTAAACAAAAATGAAAATTCTAGCCGTATTTACAACTTTTGAAAAAGAAAAAGAAGTGAGAAACTAAATGGGTACACAGTTTGAAACATTCTTGTAAATATAAATAGAATATCAAATGCAAATGACATGCAAATTAGGTGACCCACCAGCTATTTTAGATTGTTGATAACACTGTATCCTGAATTATTAAAATATTACTTAATTTGACCATAGAAACACCTCTGTAATTTATGCAAGTGTATTTGCTACTGATAGGGAAATATGGTAGAGCAACTATGGTACAGTTGTTGCATGTACTAAAACATATAAACCACAATACCATATTTACTTTTACTTTGCAGCGCATACACTAGTGTAAATAACAAAGACATGTCTATGGTCAAACTAATGATCCAAGATATAATACAATTTTGAAAATGAACTTTTAACAGAAAAAATATAGTACGGTACATACATTTTTAAACTCCAATAAATGATACATGTATATAGCACATGCCAAATATACATACAACTTTGACCATATTTACACTAGAAATAGTTGTGCTTGTTAAATTGTGCCCGGTAATTAAAATATTTAATGACCTCCATGTATGTGATCATGAGTTCACACCAAAGTTTGTACAGAGGATGCAAATATCACGACCACTGGGTAATGCACATATATTTTCTCCTTTTGTGTACTTTTTCATTTAATTTAGTGTCTTTAGCATGATTCATCATCAATAGCTGATTACTCTTGGTCGTTGAATGTCATAATATATATATCAAGCAAATCTGAAGTTTAACAACTGTATACAAGTATATAATATATTAAACAGCTTGAAAATTCGCTCTATAAGAAGCACATCTCCAATAGAAGCCTTTGGGTATACTGAATCATTTAAATATTAACCTTTTAGACAGGGATGAGATTGGGAAGTAAACCGAAGTTGATCAAATCGTTACAATACAGACTGACACTGCGCCTTTCCCTAGACCTCACATTTGTCGATGAGGTCACTCAATTTTTCAGTTACCACTTCATCTTTCTTCTCGTTTCGCACAGTCAAAGTCACTTCCTTGTCAAGCAATGCCCAACAGAATTTGTTCCTACTGTCTTTATCGATCTGTTGTCTTTTGTAAACAATTTCACCATTATCGCTGCATGAAACTTGTAAACAACGATCCAACACAGCTAACAATTGAAACAATATAATTGGCAGTGTTGGTGAAAAGAAAAATGAAAGCTCTTCACTGATTGGCCCGTCAGAACAATCCAGCCAATCATGTTAATCGTTAAATATTACTTCGAACAATTCAAAACCACTTCGGATTTTACGATTGCACTGATGAAGAGTCGCAAACATTCCGCATTGGAGACACCACGAATTGTCTCCTTTCGACTATACACTGATACAGGCCTCTTGCAGACAACAACAATGACCCGACAGCGTGTTTACTTCCAGTGAATGAACAAGATTTGTATTCTTACCCCCCCCCCCTAGAAATCCGCGGAATCCCTGTTTAGACCAGAGAAACATCTCTATAAAAAAATATGGTACAGTACAGGGTGTTCACATGTGTAGCAAAATGCTGAGTTGTACCAGAAGTTTTAGCCTACTGTTAGACATATGTCGACTCAGACTAGATTATCTTGATGTCTGAGCGCTGGGGCTGGGCTGGTCTCGCCAGAGTTGCGTGTTTAACACAAGTTGATATACAAATGAACATGGAGGTAAAAAGAGCTAAAAAAAAACAAGGTCTCATATTTTGTATTCATCACATGACCATGGTATATATCATTCACAGAAGTGGTGTGAAATATCACTAACTAATTTTACTGACATGTACCATGAATGTCATCAGTCTTTGTGTGCTTGAATAGCACACTACAAAATAATTGCGTGGCAGTACTGTTTTTTAATCGCTGGAATACAAATTTTTCAGATCGCTTGAATTGTGATATGACAATAAAGACGACTGAAAGTTTGTTTTAAAAAAACACTAAGAAGGATAACATTTCTGCATTGGCAAGTGCAACTGCGAATGTGCAGATCAGTTAAATCCCACTTGAGTTGGTCATGTGATAAAATGGTCACCTGATACCACTTACTCATAAGATACTCATGACCTCATGAACTGTACTAACTTTTGGTTTGTGGATGACGTCACCTCAATCAACCTGATCTACAAACAAGTGATATCAGGTAATATCCTCATAATATCTATAATCTTATACGCAAAAATTTATATATTAATTCATATTCGTTGGGATATGAATGATATCGAATGTTCAGTTTATACAATCAAAATGGGGTTTTAGATTACCAGAGCACATCAAGAGGAAATTGCATGTTATTATATGTAACAGAAAATGTCATCATCCAAAATGCATTATAGGAAAAAAATTATGTTTCCACTTAAAAGAAAATCCACCTAGCAGATTTAATTATTTCTATTTACATTTGTGCCATAACTGATTTTATGTGTGTAACTGTACTTATAATTACTGCTTTAATTAATATGCACACAAATGTTTGTAGCAGTGAACACTCTCCCTGGGGTTTTCAAGACAGCAAAGTCACAGTGACCTTGGGAATTTCATGAAAGCCCAGAAAAAATTTTTATGTAAATTTGGCGGATTAAATAATTTTATTATGGCATTGATATTGGACATTTATGTAAAATAGAGGTATATAACACTGATAAATAATCTCAATTCTAACGATGTACTGCAATTATGCTAAAACTGGAGTAAATGTAACTAAAAACCTGCACAATAAGACCCCACTCTCTACCCGACCCTAACCCTAAATAAAGTCTACACCTCCCATATAATTTAATTATTGCAAGAATGACACACCCCTATTCTAGTCAAATAATGTTTGTCACTGATTATAATGAGAACATTTAATGCCCAATACCATCTGTGATTTCCAAGGCACTTTGTGAGGTTAATTGGATGCACAAACAGACTGCACTATTCTCCAATAACAAGAACAGACACGGAAATATGGATAGTGTACAAGCATTGAAGGACGAATATGACGTACAAATCATTTTCATAAATAAAACAAATCTAAAGGTATAACAAAGGAACACGACACATACAGCAAGAGATCAATGGCATTCTATAACAGCAAATGATGTTGCACATTCGGATACCATTCAGTTTTGCGGAAATATTTCTTCAACGAATTGGAGTCACTTGATCAACACGGTCCTCTGGACCATTCACGCACTCAATTGATAACAGTTTATGCGTTTAATCGCAGCATAAGTAAACATTGCAGTCATTTTCCACAACAAACAAAAAAGGCCGTCGCGTAAAATCGGTTATGAATCAGATATACAGCGTCACCATCATATGATGTATTGTACGTTGGTCAACCGATTCATTCATTCATGGTCCCCTGAAAAATCCTGCGTTTGGGCCCCACTTTTAAGTGATGCTCTCACGTTCAATACTGACTACGCCGATTTCGTTTCCAAACAAACCAAAAACAGTATTATTTGATTCGTTTTAGAAACCTTGTAATAAATATACAGCTGACATATATAAAAATGTGTTTGTACTTCCGATCGACGAAAGTGGGAAAGATATGCCCGCGCCCTGTATTGCACAGTAAATGCACTATTGGTCACGAAAGAAATCACAGCACATACATTCAACGCATCGTTAACGCTTAAATGCTCGTCATGATTAATCGAATCAAAATTAGGAGAAATCAAAGAAAAAATAGAAACGGCAAGTATACTTACATTTTGGTGCGAGATTTGTGAATTTATTTGGCTGACTGTATCAGTCCTAGAATTTTTCTTTGACCAAGATGGCTGAAAACTGCAGCGATGATGTCAACATCCGGGAATTTTATGTGATGTCACAGAGGGTTTTTTCGAAGAGGGCGCACTTACGTAAGCGATTCACCTCAAGCTCGTGTCCATCGCAAAGTATGCCCTCAAGAAAGTGGGTACAAACACCGTTCCTCAACACCGTTGAGGGACGGTGGTACAAACAACCCTTTAAATCTATTTGACAACGCTTTGGCATGCGCGTGTCAGTTGATTTATACGAATGAAAAGAAAAGTTCCTTACTATTTATCAATATTTCGTGTGATGTACAGGGCTTCGTGGCGATAGACGCATATGTGGTCCGTGGTCCTTTATTTTCGTGTTTGTTTTTTAATGTAATTCCCGCGACATTTTTCGTAATTCAAACAGATCATTTAAAACAATTATTTGTTTTCACGTTCACCAAATTCTCAAAATGTTGATGAAACAGAAGATTCATATAATCAATATGTGCAAATATTTAAAATAAATAATAATTGTTATTTTTAGAACAGTTTCATAATGAACACAATGTTAAATATTATCCTCATAGACTCGGCAGACCTTTTATTGGCAAAATAACTTTTACTGATGATCAAGATGACGCAACTTTCTTGAATACAAGGTTCATAACGCGGCTGCTATTAAGTGATTTGGGATTAAATTACCTGTTGTAGTGTAACAATTATATGATGAAAAATGAATCCGTAACTTCGTTTTCTAAAAATCTTTCCCTCCATCTTTATAAATATTTGTCAATTGTAAATAGCAGTTGGCTCCAAAAAGCCAATCAACGACCACAGTGCACAACGAAGTCCAAGAAAAATATTATTTCATGTATATTGGATTACACATTATTTGCCATGCAAATAACTTGTATATTACCACAGTTAATTGCAGTAATTTGTTTTCATGTTAAGCTATGTTGTGTTGTGCAAAATTTCAAGGCATCTCTCGGATTTTGGATAAATCTTTAAACTGGGACTTTTATACTCATGTCTCTTTTTCGTCTTCTTAACTACGATCTATTACTTGTATTTAGTTACATTGATGTTCGATGGTCCATGCTATTTTGTTTTTCAACATGATACGAATCACCGTAACACTGATTATGTGTTATTTTGTGTTTCCACGTGA